TATTTCCTGCTGAGAAACCATAGCCTGGATCAACGAAGCCCACTGCACTCCCTCCATGATATCATAATCAACGATGTGAACTCGTCGCTCGCCGGCGACGGCCTCTAGAATCGCCTGATTGGCCGTAAAATGCCCAAATTTGACATACGGAGACATGTCCTGAAGTAACTGGAAGGCCTCGATGACTTCGCCGGGGTTGGGCGGCAGATCATCGTGCCTGCCAACGCCGTCGAGCAAGCGCTGGAGCGCGTCTGTAAAATGCTCTGCTAGGCGTTCTATGTTGGTCGCTCCACCATGGGAGAGCAACTCTCTGAGCCGAATCAATATCACTCGAGCCAAGTCACCGCATTTATTAGCTCCGGTGAGGGCCTCCGCCGCGGCCATGAGGAGGTGGACGAGGCGGAGGCCCTTATCGTCGTCGCGTGAGGATTCCGCCGCCGGGAGAGGCAACAAGTCCTCCACCGGCGTGCCGGGACAGTTAGTGCTGGCGGGGCTGACGTTGGTTGACCAATCATTGGCCGCCGGCGTGCAGGGGAGGCCGTAGTGCTCGAGAAGACCGCTAAAGTCGTCGTCTACGGAGAGACAGCCCCAATCGATGGCCGGAGACCAGTCTACCCAGTTGACGTCGCCGAGGGTTGTGGTAGAGCTAGCGGAACTACAGCCGGAGAAGACGAAGTTCATCATATGCTCCATATCCACTTCCATATGCTCCATGTTTACATGTCTAAGTGCTCATACCTGGTACATATTTATATATACTTGTGTATATATTAATATATGTGGATGGGAAAGGTATGGAGGAGGTGACAGTTTAGGCTTAATAAGGATGTGATTAGGTGAAATGAACACTGATTAGGGGGCAAATCAAGGATTATTAATAAACTGTTTTATGTTTATGTTGCAGATAGGGATGGATTATGAAATGGTTTATTTTTTTAAAAGTGGAGACAGTGATGGGTTCGGAGTTCTATGCTTATCAATGATGAAAGCACCAATTAAAGGGGGAGAGGGGACTAATTCATTCCCAAAAATATTTTCCTTCCCCAAAAAAATTACTAATTAAATTTATAGGATGAAGATGATTTATATGATATAAAATATTTGAGTGTTTTAAATGTGGCCGGTCAAAATTTTATCACATCATTTTTTATTATTTCAAGTATGGGTATAAACGAGTCGAACACGAGCGAGCCTACGCTCAGAGCGAACACGAGTCATTTATATTTCAAGCCGTTTATATTTCAGAGCCAACACGAGCCTAGGCTCAGTTTGTGTTTGGCTCGTTTATATTTCGAGCTCAAAAAGTGTGTTCGTGTTCGGCTCGTTTGCTTAGCGCGCCGAACACGAGCCGTTCACGAACAAAGAGTCATTTTGACAACCCTAATCATTAATTAATTAGTACTATTTCGAGCCAAAACAAGCCGAACACGAACAGACAAATATTTATTCGTGTTCGGCTCGTTAACTTAGCGAAGGAGCCGAACAGACAAATATTTATTCGTGTTCGCCTCGTTAACTTAGCGAAGGAGCCGAACACGAGCTATTCGAGAACAACGAGCCGATTTGACAGCCCTAATTTCAAGCTATTTAATATCTTGCATTTTATTTTGCTTTGAGCTTTACTTTAATAAATATTTTAACAAGAAAATTAAATTTTTTTTTTTTAAGGAAAAGCTGTTTTTGCAATTTTTACCGAGCAAAAATTGCAAATTTGAGACAACTAGCACTTCTATTATATTCCCAATAAAATTAAGAATTGAAGGACTCATGGCCTTTACAATATAGCCAATTTAAATGTTTTATGTTGGAGGAAAGTATTTATGAAGTAATGATATTCAGGAGAATTTAAAAAATTATCTAAGAAAAGATATAGAAAAACTTATAAGAAGCCATATACTTTGATATTATTGAGGTTCATTCAATATTTTGTTTAGAGATAAATGATTTATTATTATTGATGTTTAGCCTTATGCTCTGGTCATCAACAGTGAAACAATTGCCCATATTGAATAATTTTTATTTGAGGTATGAGCAAGCAAAAATCTCAAACGTTTCTTCACTTCAGACACAACATCCACGACAATAAATAGACAAAACCAACCCAGCCAACAGTAATTATTCATTGAAATATTTGCACGTATCAATCTCTTAATAGCCATCACTTTTGCGGCAAATTTAGAGCTATGTTTTGTTAATGATGTAAGGTGCAAAAAATTTGAGTCTAATTTTTTATTGTGATAAATCCACAGTGTCAATTTTAAATAAAATATAATTTATTCATTTTTTTGTTCTCGTGTTCTTGTTATGAAAGTTGTTCCTCATTTGACAATAAAATTTATTCTTACATCAGGGTTAGAGGACTTTGATAATGATTAGAATGTTTTAATAAGTTTGATCTCTCATACATGCCATAGCAGCAATCAAGGCCCTAGCCATGGTTGATTTCCTGATCGGCTTATATGAGCCAAGCGAGCCTAACAATAAAATGGAGACTAACAACCTTACCTAGGTTTTGCATATCAACAGAGCATCTCATGGTTGCTTGCACCAGGGCAGGGCTCAGTCTTGCTCTAGCAAATGTAATTGGGGGTTATTTGTACCACTCGATAGAAGTGGGATTCAAAGTCATCAATTAACAATCATGTCGAGTATGAAGCTCTGATAGTTGGGCCACTTGGCACCTCATGGTGAAATCCAACTCTCAATTAGTAGTAAATCAAATAAGAAGGCATTTTGAAAGAGACTAGATGCTGGACAAATATCTCGTTAAGGCCAAGCCAGAATAGGGAAAATCAAACATTTAAAAATTGAACACATCTCTTAATAAGATAATCGGGCGGCAAACCTCATGTCTAAGTGCATCGGTTGAGGTGTAGGGATACCTCAGAGACTCAACCGAATGAACATTGAAGAAGCCAAAGCAACCAAGATAGAAACCGAAGGAATAAAAAGATATTTAAACTTGTACATCTTGTTTTTTAAGATTGGAAATAGTACCAAGGAGATAACCAACCCGCAGCTCTTCCAGATTAATGTCACCCAGTATTTTTTGATCTACGAAAAGCTTTTCTAAAGGTTAACCATGTCGTTATACCTAAGATGCATCAAGAAGAATGAAGGGAAGAAATACTAAAAGAAGTGCATCCCAGTGAATGCAGGAGCCATTTCGGAGAAGAAGTATTGGCTTACAGCAAAAAAAGACAACTTCTGGTTGACCCTACAAAAGGATGTCAAACAATTTACAAAAAGTGCAAGCAGTGCCAAAAATTCACACCAATGCAACACCAATCATCCCACAAATGGAAAAAAAAACCATCAACCCGTGGCCATTGACATTTTGGAGACTCAATATCCTTGGACTATTTTCTCTATCATGTGGGCAAAGAAAGTTTTTTCTATTCGCAATGGATTGCTTCTCCAAGTGGGCTGAGATGAAAGTGTTGGCTCAGATCACAACTGAGGTCATATGAAACTTCATTCAGTTGGATATGATCAAGCGGTTTGATTTACCAGTCGTTATCATTACAAAAAATGAAAGATAATTTGTCGATGAAAGAGTGAAAGATTTCTACTAAAGCTAAAAGATTAACCTAAAATTTTTATTCTCCATTTCGCATGAGCAAATGGGCAAGTTGAAGCTGCAAACAAGGTTATATTAAATATAACGAGAACTAAAGCCTAGGGAACCAAAGGAAGCTAGACTAAAGTCCTACCATTCATGGTGTCGTCTGAAGTGGAGGCTATGCTACTAGTGGATGATTATGTTTTTTTTGTAAACTTAGAGTCACCAACTTGTCTAATCATTATTCTAAAGTTCCCTTTGTTGAGGAGCACTCTTTGAATCTTAGGAACGATTCAGAGAAGAGGGGGGATCAGAAAAAAGTGAATTAAGGTGAAGACTTGGTTGAAAAATTTGTAAAGAACCCGAAAAACTTATATAAAGTAAACTTCGTATGATAGGTCAAGGGTGTGTTTTCAAACATAATCAGATCAAGACACCTTGAACCGTATATTCACAAGAGAATACCTACGTAAGCTACCCAAGTAGCTAGAAAACCAAATTTGTATTTGTCTTGAGTTCAAGAACACTCCTAAATGAATGTATCCCTTTAGTTAATTACATCTTGGGGGATGCCAAAAAATACTCTCGATTAAAGGAGTTCTGCTTACATTTAAGTAATGATTAGTGAGAGGATGTCATAAAGAATGGCTATCTCATAAGAGCATCCTAATGCCTTTGAGGCTCTCTCTAAGCCATATGAAAGAGAGTGAGTCTCTCACTTTTCCAAATGGGTAACAAATCATCGATGAACGGAGCCTATGAAATAATTGTGTCATCTAGTTGAGTGCATACTATGTTTCCAAGTCTGACCGGGCCATAAGGATAGAGGGTGAATCACCGTATCTCAAATGAGTGGTGGCTTGTCAGCAATCGAGGTCAACAAAACGACATCGACGAAGCGTCCAAGGAGCTGCAAGGCTCCTTCGTGAATGTCACAAATTAAACTTAATACTTAAATGTAGACCAAAGCTATTAGGACCGTAAGTCTACTTCGTGAATGTTGTCGACCCAATGCATGCAGTGATCCCTTGTCACAAATTTGTGAATTGTGTTATCCAAGATGACCTCGGTAGCCCTAAAGTCAAGAGAAAGACTCTAAGACTTATGACCTTATGTAGGTAGGAAGAGTAGAGGTGGGGCTTATACCTGCTAAAACAGCAAGTAAGTCGTTGGAAAGAGAGAGAGAGAAGGGAGGTAAAGCTACAAATCTGGAAATCCTCTCACAAAGGACTTATTTCCCGTTTGGGTAAGTCAAGCCTCTAACACCCTAAGCGCGCTAGATAACCACCTAAGTAGAAATCTTATGCTTGGCCCAAAAAGCACGGGTGATTCTGCTAGGAACATACAAATGTGATGCAGTTATCTAAAAGTTCTAATATGGAGACCCTTTCAGTATGACTTGGGTGATAACCATGTAATGCAAAACTTTTTTAAATCCAACCAGGAGGTGATGCAGAAAAGTAAAAGCATGAGTTGAATATCATGTAGTATTTTAATCCTAAATTTTGAGAAAAATTATAATTTTAGGTCCTTAGAGAGCATAAATTATATTTTCCCATTATTCCCAGACAAACCACAAGCCAAAAAGGTAGTGACTAGCAGACATATAATGCAATGTAAGAAAAGCAAGCCAAATATAATGATTAAAAGGTCTAAAAGTCACTAGGTCGACAACATATCCCAAAAATATAAAATGTGGTCAGACACAGCATATACATATCTGATCCCAACGCTACTCATCAAATAAAAATCTTAATTAAAATACGGGACACGAGCCTGCAGCTTCTGGTCCCGATTACATGGTTTCGCTATGTAGGCTTCTCAGAACTTGTACCCGTAACTTATTTGTCGAGCCTATGAACTTTAAAAATTACATGGTAAAAGTTAAAAAAAAAGGACTTGACCTACAAAATAATGGGGTTAGTATGGGATAAAAGGCATGCAATGTGATGAGCAATACCCAGAGGGAGGAGAACTAAGCAAGCACCTGCGAAAAATGTGTCAGTTTAAATTATTAATGCTCCTCCCTTTAGACATGATTCCCTACTAGATGATCGTCCTTAATATACTAACGCTTATGTTGCAAACTCTAATAAACACATAGAGTAACAAACACATGATGCAAGACTAGGGCAACCAAACCAACAGAGAACTATAATTAGGACATCAAAAAGACTACTAAGCACCCTAGTCCTAGCCTAACAAATCATATAACCTATAATGTCCTAGTCACAATATTTAAGTGTGTGTAAGGTGTGGGTATAATACTTGTGTTGATCGTGATATGGTAACTC